TTACATGCGAGAGCCACGCGCCTGGCCCCCTCAAAAAGCAGTTTTCTACTTTCAATCTTTATTTGTAGAAATAGATTTCTGATTATCCTTGAAAGAGTCACAAACTCAAATTCCTATAGAGGCCAGTCAATTGAAAAGAGTATAGCCATTTAAATAATTTGCCTGTAGAACACATAATATGTGCTCACCTCTTTAAAACTTTCAGATATTTCAAGAAATTCTGGAAACTTTTTTGTTTTGTTTTGTTTTGTTTTGAGACAGAGTTTTGCTCTTGTCACCCAGGCTGGAGTGCAGTGTCGCGATCTCAGCTCACTGCTGAGATCAAGGGATTCTCCTGTCTCAGCCTCCGTAGTAGCTGGGATTACAGGCGCCCACCACCACGCCCAGCTATTTTTTTTTTTTTTAAATAGAAATGGGGTGTCACCATATTCACCATATTGGCCAGGGTGGTCTTGAACTCCTGACCTCAGGTGATTCATCCACCTTGGCCTCCCAAAGTGTTGGTATTACAGACTTGAGCCATTGTGCCCAGCCTGGAAATTTGTTTTCTAGTACAAAGTTTTCTGATTTTCAAATGTTAGCAATTAAGAATTTTGTAATCACTCTGAGTCAAACAAAACCCGAGTGGGGAGTTGAATATAGTCCATAGAAGGCCAATTTCCAAATCTATGTGTTTTATCTTCTGATATGCTCTCCCAGGAGGCTTATTGGGAGTTGTTAAGAATAACTTTAAAGGTCGTTTTAATTTTTAAAGAGAACTTTTTTCTTTACGTCCTTGCATGTGTTTGATCTAAAACAGTAGATGTCAAAGTATGGGTCATTTACCAAAAATGTATGCAGACTAGTCTGTAATACAATGTATGCACAAACAAGTTAGCCTCTGGAACATTCCCATCCAGCTTTGGGGGAAATAGGCAGATTTAGTGCGAGTGACATCATTGTAAGAAACTCATCTACTCTTAATTGAGCAGCTTAAAGGCGAAGCTATAACTGGCAACGCTGTCTTCCTCATCTGTACACTAAACTGACAGAGGCCACCAGCCATCTTGGAGTTGGCAAGAGAGACTGAAAAAAACCTCACAGAAGATGATATCTAATGTCTGGTTCATTCCTTATTCTTTCCAGAAAAGCATTGCCTCACTCTTACTAATAGTTCCTCTGCTATGGCACAAATGACATATAAATATATAATAAATCAAAGGACCCTGGCTTTTGCTTTCTTCCCCACTCCCCTTAACCCCCCCCCCCCCCCCCCCCCCCGGTCTATGGTAGAAGAAAGAGGAAAAGGCACAGACTGGGTTCTTAATTTGTGTATTCTCTCCACAAATTTTGAGAACTGTAGGTCCTCTAGTGATACTCGTTAGGCAAGAATTTTGTGTAGTAAAAAATACTGTCATTCGCAAACATTTTTGGTCATTTCTGTGGTCTTAATGCTAGTTCAAAGGTGTGTATGTGTCTGTGCGTGTGTGTTTGGAGATCAGTACTACGTTTAAATAAACCACCATTTGTGAGATTTCACATAAAAATCTGGATTCTCAGCTTCTTTTGGAAAATGGAAGGAAGTTTCCCACATTCGATAAGCTGGAGCTGAACATTAGCTAACCCATCTAGGAGAATTAGCCACTGAATTTATCACTTTCCTTTTATTTTGTAAACTTCTAGTCACTTTTGTTCTCTATGCCTGAGGTTCCTCATCTGTAAATGCAAATTATGATCATACCAACCGCATTGGGTTGTTACACGGATTAATTTTTAAATTAATAAATATATCAAACACTTAAAATAATTCTTAGCATATGTTAAACAATCAATGCTAGTTGTTACTGCTATGCCTTTTGTATGTACAAGGTTTATTGTGCCGCTTTAGGGGTTGACTAACAAAAGAATGAGAAAATAATCACTTAGAACGATGCCAATGTCAAAGTGTAGAAAGAAAATTAAGCACAGATTCAAAGAGAAAAAGCGCAGTCCCAAGTCTACTCCTGTTACCTTGAACAAGTCTCTTAATTTCTCTGGGCTTTAGTGTCCTCATTTATAAAAAAGACAAATACATGTGTTGTCTTTAGAGGTCCGTTTCTGAAATTGAATATGATTGAAGGTTTTGGGGGAAAATTACAAGAAGTCATGCTGTGACAAAAGATGCCAAGAGGGATTAATTTTCTCCTTGAAAAACTGAATACTCTTTCAAAAATTTCTTAATGAAACTTAATGTTCACTATACTTCATATAGATTTAAACTATGATGCAGTGTTTTTCTTATGCTACCAGTTAAACACTGTTTCTTTTGCTGCATTCCTCCAGGAAAGAAAGTTAGAAATCTGGTCTTTGCTCAATAACAAGGAAATTCATATTCATTTCATTGAATGCATAAGTAGTAAAAGGGAATGTCAAGGCCAGGAAGCCGGAGAAAGCATTCTTGTTAGAGTAAACAATGCAAAATTTACTCCTATGTTGGCAGGTCAGGCAAAACTGAGAAACGTGGCGTGTTTAATTGTGAATGAGAGAAAGTACATGTCTTTGTTTACAAATCTCACTTACATGATAGTAGTCTCCCCCATCTTTCAACTGTATTAAATGTTATGGATTTGGGGCTATCTTTGTATAAGACTATAATCAAATTTTGATTTTAGTACCATATGATACGATACACAAAATTAGTTAACTTGATTCTTTGGCTAAGTTTAGGGTATATCAATTGGCTTTTGGATATACATTAATTGTTTTAGATCACCAAATAGTTTTTTTTTAAATTATACTTTAAGTTCTAGGGTATATGTGCACAACATGCAGGTTTGTTACATATGTATACATGTCCCCTCCCCCAATCCCACAACAGGCCCTGGTGTGTGATGTTTCCCTTCCTGTGTCCAAGTGTTCTCATTGTTCAGTTCCTACCTATGAGTGAGAATATGCGGTGTTTGGTTTTTTGTCCTTGAGATAGTTTGCTGAGAATGATGGTTTCCAGCTGCATCCATGTCCCTACAAAGGACATGAACTCATCCTTTTTTATGGCTGCATAGTATTCCATGGTGTGTATGTGCCACATTTTCCTAATCTAGTCTGTCATTGATGGACATTTGGGTTGGTTCCAAGTCTTTGCTACTGTGAATAGTGCTGCAATAAACATATCTGTGCATGTGTCTTTATAGCACCATGATTTCTAATCCTTTGGGTATAGACCCAGTAATGGGATTGCTGGGTCAAATGGTATTTTTAGTTCTAGATCCTTGAGGAGTTGCCACACTGTCTCCTACAATGGTTGAACTAGTTTACAGTCCCGCCAACAGTGTAAAAGTGTTCTGTTTCTCCACATCCTCTCCAGTACCTGTTGTTTCCTGACTTTTTAATGATCGCCATTCTAATTTGTGTGAGATGGTGTCTCATTGTGTTTTTGATTTGCATTTCTCTGATGGCCAGTGATGATGAGTATTTTTTCGTGTGTCTGTTGGCTGCATAAATGTCTTTTTCTGAGAAGTGTCTGTTCATATCCTTCGCCCACTTTTTGATGGGGTTTTTTTTTCCTTGTAAATTTGTTTGAGTTCTTTGTAGATTCTGGATATTAGCCCTTTGTCAGATGAGCAGATTGCAAAAATTTTTTCCCATTCTGTAGGTTGGTTGCCTATTCACTCTGATGGCAGTTCTCTTGCTGTGCAGAGGCTCTTTAGTTTAATTAGATCCCATTTGTCAATTTTGGCTTTTGTTGCCATTGCTTTTGGTGTTTTAGACATGAAGTCCTTGCCCATGCCTATTTCCTAAATGGTATTGCCTAGGTTTTCTTCTAGGGTTTTTATGGTTTTAGGTCTAACATTTAAGTCTTTAATCCATCTTGAATTAATTTTTGTGTAAGGTGTAAGGAAGGGACCCAGTTTCAGCTTTCTACAGATGGCTAGCCAGTTTTCCCAGCACCATTTATTAAATAGGGAATTCTTTCCCCATTTCTTGCTTTTGTCAGGTTTGTCAAAGATCAGATGGCTGTAGATGTGTGGTATTATTTCTGAGGGCTCTGTTCTGTTCCATTAGTCTGTATCTCTGTTTTGGTACCAGTACCATGCTGTTTTGGTTACTGTAGCCTTGTAGTATAGTTTGTAGTCAGGTAGTGTGATGCCTCTAGCTTTGTTCTTTTGGCTTAGGATTGACTTGGCAATGTGGGCTCTTTTTTGGTTCCATATGAACTTTAAAGTAGTTTTTTCCAATAATGTGAAGAAAGTCATTGGTAGCTTGATGGGGATGGCATGGAATGTTTTTCCATTTGTTCGTGTCCTCTTTTATTTCATTGAGCAGTGGTTTATAGTTCTCCTTGAAGAGGTCCTTCACATCCCTTTAAGTTGGATTCCTAGGTATTTTATTCTCTTTGAAGCAATTGTGAATGGGAATTCACTCATGATTTGACTCTCTGTTTGTTTTAAGTTGGAAAGGACCTTAGAAATGATTTACTCTAAATTATGCTCTGGTGACATCCTGACAGCCTATAAAAGTGTCTAGAAAGTAGAATTCGTGACATTTACATCAAACAAAACCGGAGTGGGGAGTCGAATATAGTCCATAGAAGGCGAATTTCCAAATCTATGTCTTTTATCTTCTGATATGCTCTCCCAGGTGGCTTATTGGTAGTTTTATCTTCTGATATGCATTCCCAGGTGGCTTATTGGCTTATAAGAGCATTTTGACATAATTTTGGATGATAGTTTATGAAGGGATTTAAACAATTTATAACAGATGAGATAGAAGGTAGCTTTCAATGAAATTTAACCCAGATAGTCTCAGGATAAGTGGTGCTAATGGGAATTTTTTTAAAGAACGTGGATAAGTAATTTTCTGTATTTATTAAGTGGTCAAAATGACTATATACATATGTGCATGGACTGTCATGGTAGTATGTTGGGATAAGAGGTATAAGAGTTGAAAGTTAGTTTTAGTATAGGATTTTAAGAACAATTGTAAGGAAGCTAGTCATGGAGGAGTAACATTTTAAACTTTAATTTCATTTTAATCTGTTTCAGAGACCATCATGCAGACATCAGAGACTGGGTCAGACACAGGCTCGACAGTGACCTTACAAACTTCGGTGGCTAGTCAAGCAGCAGTGCCTACGCAGGTGGTACAGCAAGTACCAGTACAACAACAGGTAAGGAGCTGCTGAACTTAGAAAAGATGCTGTTACTTTCATTATGTTGGCTGTCCAACATACCTGTATCCAAAGATTATTTGGACTTTACTGTCTTGCTATGACAGGCATACTTCAGTTTTTAGGTTCATTCAGCAAATGTTTCTTGAGCATTTCTTGGATATGCCAGCTTCTTTCTGTGCTGGGCTATAGGGATACAAAAATGAATACTTAAGTTACAATCTCTATTCTCAAACAGCCTGTCTTGACTCCTGAAGCGAGTTATTTTTTCTGACATGACCACCCAAAGTTTTCTCCTTCTCTTCGCTCCCCATTGTTTATCACAACTTTCTATTTCTTTCGTATTGAAATGTCAGCAATATTATTCTTTATTAGGTGGCTCACAGTAGTACTTAATAGGATGTATGTACCTTCCAGGCAGGGATTTTGCCTTTGTGGTATTTTAGAAAGTGCCTTGGCATTAGGTGGCTGATAAATACTGTTGAATGAAAATAGAATAATCTTAAAGGTCTGGAGATCTGACTCATGCCATTTAAAAGTTGGAAGCGAATTTATCATCAGATATTAACTACAGGTCTTATTCATATGCAGGGCAGTTGACTTGTTTTGGAAAGATACTGACAAAGTAATGTTGGTCATGTATGTGGATTTTGAACACACTGGCCTGTGGTTTCTTCTAAAGAGTGGTGAGAACATAAGTGAGAAAGATCATATGTCATATAACATTATCTTGAGATTCAAGATTTGCCTATAATTTCTTAGTATTAAAGAGACTCTTTAGCAAACTTTGCTCTTACAATTATAAATAAGTGGTTAGGGAGAAGGATATAGATGGGTTATAGATGATGAAGGACATTTTTGTAAATGATAGATACAAGGTTATATTCTTTACAGGATATAGAATTGGGTTGGACAGGGAGTGTGGTGGAATCGTACAGAAGTCATTGGCTTTTGGGATAAGTAAAGACATCTGAAATAATCGTTTTGTGTTTTATTCTTTTTGTTTGTTTGTTTGTTTGTTTTTCGAGATAGGAATCTTGCTGTCTCCCAGGTTGGAGTGCAGTGGTGCGGTCTTGGCTCACTGCAAGCTCTGCCTCCCGGGTTCACCCCATTCTTCTGCCTTAGCCTCCCAAGTAGCTGGGACTACAGGGGCCCACCACCACGCCCGGCTAATTTTTTGTATTTTTAGTAGAGATGGGGTTTCACCGTGTTAACCAGGATGGTCTCGATCTCCTGACCTCGTGATCTGCCCGCCTCGGCCTCCCAAAGTGCTGGGATTACAAGCGTGAACCACCGCACCTGGCCGTTTTGTGTTTATTTTTTAGATTAAAAAAAAAAATCTTAGCATACTCTACCATATATACATACACATCTTTCCCATCCCACAAGCTCCCAGTTTATTCGATTGAACTATATGTAGTTTTGATCTTCAAACAGTGTTACATGTTTCAATCTATTGCTTATGCTTCTTTTATTTCTTTTAAACATATTCTGTCTTTTTTAAAATTACAGATCCAGAGGATACATATGCAGGTTTGCTTTATGGATAAATTACATAATGGTGGGGTTTGGGCTTCTAGGGTACCCATTACCCAGATGGCGAACATTGTACCCAATCGGTAATTTTTCAACACTTATCCCCTTCCCACCCTCTCTCCTTTTAGAGTCCCCATTATCTATTATTGTCATCTGTATGTCCATGTGTACCCATTGTTTAGTGCCCACATTATTGGTTATGTTTTTATCTTTTTATATATTTTTTAACCATTAAAAATGAGTCCTCAAAATGGTGATTTAAAAGGCTCTGCTATTATTAATGCCATCACCAATTTTAAGACTCCAAACCTTATTGAGAAAGGGATAGCTTATGTCATGTCATCCAAAGAGCAAGTAAAGAACAATGCAGACATTGTTATAACTAAGTTTAAAAAGATAACAGTTATCTTTTTAAAGGCAATGTTGAACATTTAACTCACTCTGGTTTTCATCTCTATGGAAGAATGGTTTTGAGAGAGTGCCTATCACTAACAAGAGTGTGATGAAAATGGTGTTCCTATCTCCAGAAGGTGCCTTCTGTAAACATGAAAAATGTTTTCTTTTTATTGAATTTACATATTATCAAATATTTACACCAGGTCTTAATAGGTCATATAATAGTGTAAAGAGTCGAAAAATTTCGTACGGTTTGTTATTTTAAAAATATGGTCTTTAACCTTCCCCATTCTCCCACAAACCACTCCTCATAGGCAACTACACTGACTTCTTTAAACTTGTTATTTTGATATTTACTTCCATTTACTTAAAGATAATATACATATTTTACTGCATCTTGAATTTTTAGTTTTAAGCATTTAAAGCATTATCTTGGCATAACCTTCTGGTTTCTAACACACAAACACACAACCTGACCCACCCACCCACCCTTCAGATTCCTCATGTTCTTGACAGATCGAACCATATTTTTTTTATGTACAAAAACAATAATTTCATATGTCTCAATCTATGTTATGTTTTAATTTTAGTAAATAAGTATTCAGTGCTTACACTACCATGATATATAAATGCTTTTCAAATCCAGCCTTGTAGTAAGCATTGATTACCTTCCTTTCCCGTAAAACTCATTTATTTTTCTTAGATTTAATGATTGTGTTTCTTCTGGTTTGCAGGATTGCCATGGACAAGCCAAACACCAATTTGATTTCTGATCTTTTTTATGTGGTTTATGTGATTTTTTTTCTCTGAAACTTTGTAGAATATTTGAAATTCCAGTTTTATGAACTTTTTGATGATGTGCATTGATGCGGGCCTATTTTCAAATACTGTGCTAGAACCTTTGATGGGCCATTTCAGTCTGGACATTCATGCTTTTTCATTTCTGGGAAACTTTATTCAGTTTTTTCATTTATGATTCCCTCCCCCTCTGTTTTCTTGTGTTTTTCACTTTCTGGACCTTTTTTGTTCTATTTTCAATTTCATTGTTCAGCCTTTCTATTATTTTTAAATTCTATCAGTTTTTTTTTTTTTTTAAATTTTCAAGAACTTTAAAAAAGTTCCTTTGTGTTCCTTTTCGTAATATTATGTTTTATTTCATGGTTTTCTTTTTCCTCTCTGAAGATACTAATTTGTTTTAAGTTGTTGAATTTTTTTTTCTCTTTATCTTGTCTCTTTTAAGGTACCCTATTCTGTTTTCTTTTGTTTTTTACTATGTCTCTGTCTTTCATGTTAACAGCTTTTCTCTGATGTCTGATAATCTGTGCGTGTTTATCCATATTTTAAAATGTGGGTATAAGATACTGATTTGAATGTATGAGTGAGTCTTACTGACTTCAAAATGGGTCATCTCACTGACGAGGCTTTTTAATTAAGAACCCTCTGATGTTCAGTATTTTTGTTTTTCCTCTTTGGCTGGTCAATTTTTTTAAGAAGACTTGTCCAACTTCCTGCCTAGTGGGGGAATGCTTGGCTGCCTGGGAGCTGAGTTGGGGAAAGAGTTGGGTATTTATTGCACTAATTTAATTAATCTTTCTCTTTTTTCATGTGATATTTCCCGTGCTTGGTATTCCTCAATGCAGAGATTAAACCAAAGAACAAACTCCAAACATTTTACTAAAGTTAGGGAAGGCCAGTCACCTTACTGCATAGGGGTTGGTAGAGGGAGCCTGATTGCTTCTTAAATAGAATCATGTTTTATATTAAATACATATATTAAAAACAAAAAATTGGATTTCTGTCAGAAGTGGAAAATCAGTGTCACTAACCATAAATAGAAGATTATACATACACACCCTCACCACCCCCCTGCAACACTTCAATCTTGACCTCAGAAAAATTAATCTTGTGTACACCTTGACCACACTTTGGAAAAAACATTGTACTGTACCATATGGCTCACCCCTAGCAGGCATATTTTTCAGTTCATCAAGTTAGCTTTTTCTTCTGGGACATTCAAGGCAGGTGATACCTTATATTCCTTTACACCAAGGAAAGAAGGTGAGAACTCTCATTTTCTTTTTGTCAACAAAGTGTTTTATTTCACGCAGTTTTTTGTTGTGATATTTGCCTGGAGACCCTTGTTATGTTGTCCTCCCAGAATTATTTGGAAGCCTGTTTTTCTTCTTTGTCATTATTATTATTTTTTTTTCTTAAGTAGAACAGTGTTAGGTTTAAGCTCCCCAGTATATTCCAGTGGTATCCCTGTGGATGTAAATTGTCTATAACTGACAAGATTAGTGCTGTAATTCCTTACTCCTCTGACATGCCTATAATGTTTGAATTGTTAATGTGCTGCTGTTATCTTGGGTTTGCAAACTATAGTAAAATCCTTTAAAAGTTTCTAGCTTTTGTTACTGACCCGTAATGGATATAGCAATCATGATATTGATGTCAAAGGTAGTTACTTCTGTTGATTCAATTTTTCATTGTAACTTTGCTTTGTCGATTTTGACATAAAGAGAAAGTTTATAGCTAATGTTTTAAAATTTTGAGACATTTCAATATTATATATAGGTTGGTGCAAAAGTAATTGTGGTTTTTGCCATTAATTTTAATTTAATTTTTGCACCAACCTAATATACTAGAATGATGAGTGTATTAGTCCATTTTCATGCTGGTAATAAAGACATATGTGAGACTGGGTAATTTATATAGGAAAAAGCACTTAAGGGACTTACAATTCCATGTGACTGGGGAGGCCTCACAATCATGGCACAAGGCAAGGAGGAACAAGTCACGTCTTACACAGATGGCAGCAGGTCAAGAGAGAGAGCTTTTGCAGGGAAACTCCCATTTCTCAAACCATCAGATCTCATAAGACTTACTCACTATCATGAGACCAGCACAGAAAAGACCTGCCCTCATGAGTCAGTTACCTCCCACAACATGCAAGAAATGTGGGAATTACAATTCAAGATGAGACTTGGGTGGGGTCATAGCCAAACTATATCATTCCACCCCAGCCCCTCCCAAATCTCATGTCCTCAAATTTCAAAACCAATGATGCC